TGTCTCCATTCTACAATAACCGAGTTATTAAGATTTTAAAATAATACATTCTGTGTTGAAAAATCAGAGGTATATAACGTGATTATATACCTCTGAATGACTATTATTAACCAATCACAATCCAGTATTTACTGAAGTCATGGTAGAATGGTTAAATAGATTAACCATTATAAAATAATGGCCACGATGTTAAGTGAGTGAAATAACTATTAAAACCATGCATCAGTAAATCAGCTTTGTGCTTGACCCTAGAACTTGAAGATATGTTCCTTTGTCTTTTGTACTGGATTTTATGATACCATAACATCTTTAAAAAGAAAACTATTGATTGGTCCAGCAATGTATAACCCAATCCTTGTCTAAATAAATTATCCTTAATGAAGGAAGAGCTTTACATAAGAGATAGTATGTGATAGTATTGTAAACAAGTAGAATTATTACCATGTGGGTTCTCAACGCTCACAGGTTTTGCTTGAAAGAGGCGAGATAAGACTTATGGTGTCCTATAATTGACATCGCGTGGCGCGTAAAAAAAGACGACGTTTTGCGCGACGTCGCTTTGTAAAATAAAAATAACGGGCGACGTCGTTGGCGACGTCTGACTATATCGAGTGGTTATCGGCCTCTGAACGTGGCTTACCAAGGTTACGTCTAAAAGAAGAATCGTTAAACGAAACAGGATTTAAACTGAACTCACTCACTAAACCCGCTGGTTCACATGTCAACCCGCTGGTACAAATGTCATATTTCGTTTCCTGAGTTGAGACATTTTACATTTTGTAGAAATCCAGTGTATTGATCCCTTAAAACAACACCGTTTTCACAACATCAAACATCAACTAAATTTGACAGAATTTTTTACTTAAGGTGTTCTGGCACTAACCCCTCGATTGGTTTACTTAAATAAGTAGTAATGTTGAACATGAAATCAGTGATTAGAGATCAATAGCAGTACAACTGCATCACAAAAGGTTATTCCCCGATTTTCCAATATGACAACTTCTAAACACGACGTCGCCCGCGACGTCGGTCTCGACGTCGTGGACGACGTCGATTTTGTATTTTTGTCGTAGATCATTCTTGTGTATTTCTGCACGACGTCGTGGACGACGTCAAACACGACGTCGTTGTCGACGTAGTCTTTTTTATGCGACGTCGCCCACGACGTAGTTCTTTTTTTACGTGCCACGCGATGGCAATTATAGGACACCATAAAGACTTGTAAGCATATGCACCAATTCGGAATCGAACAAGGGGATTACTCCATAAGATTTATGTATAAGTTCAGTTACTTACATATTCTGATATGCACAGACACCTAACACTCTATTTGAATAGTCACATATTTATCTTTTTTTTGTTTGCTTGAGGCATCCTTGATAGGTTTAAATCAACCAAGCATTGTAAACACTTTACAGCGGGCCTGGATCAGTTTGAACTGCATTTCTCTAAGCGGCACCTGGAGTGTAATTTCGATTTTCCAAACCAACAACTAATACAGGAAACACGTTGTGGAATTGTATCTACAATTCGAAACTTAAAGCATCTGATCCTAATTTGTTTTCGTATGTTTGCGTCCAAGCTGTTCTGTGGAACTTTTAGAACAAGTTCGTTGCATTTATGATCCTACAAACAAATAGTAAATTGAGAATGTTTTGATCATGCTTGTGCGTCTTAATGTATATCTAGATTTTAGCTTTCTAGAATTCCGTAGTAATGCTTTAAAATAGGTCTGACCTGTTTCTGAGTCTAAGCCGAGTTTGCACTGAATGTCTGCGACAAGTCTCCGTGCCTACAAGTATAACAAATATCACACCAACACCTTTCCGATCTTTAAGCAACTGATCAATATTTGTGTTTGTGTTTTTATGTGTTTGGAGTTGAAAACAAATACGCTGTCATGTTCCCTTTGCAAACAGTACATGTTAGTTGTATTAATCATGTTTATTATGTATTTGTTCAAATTAAAGTTTTTACTTTCGACTGTTTGTTTTATCGACTCGATGATACCGATCTTTCTGTTAATGAGTAATGTATAATTTGTCAATACAGCATTGAATATTAGATCTTACATCCACTTACACATTCATTTACTATTTGCATTTAGCCTTCTGCAAATTGCTGTCTCAAAATACTGCTTGGAGTGAATTAACATTGTTAATAAATACCATGACATCTATATTAATCTCATGTTTCTCTTGTACTGTAAACAGTAAGAAATTGTGTGAACGGCAGATGCTACCGTTATGTCAGGACATGCTGTCCCTATCCTGGTGATGTCACTGATATTCAGTGTCTCATTCAAATGAATCCGTTCCAGGTATTCTTTTGCATTGAAGTTTCACATTTCGATTTAATGTTTGTATTAATATTCGTATAATGTGTCAAAATAACGAGGAACAAGCGTATATACATTACATTAATGAAGCAACGCCCGCATTTTCTCAGACTGATCAACTTTAATGAACTTTGGTATAAAATGTATCAAAGGTTTCCACACTATATGCTGCAGTTAAAAGAGCTACTGATGTTTTGAGTAGAATAAATATGCACATCATTCTCTGATTTCAAGTTTAACTTATACGATTGCTTGTATGCGAACACGTTTCTGGGTTAACCTATGCGTTTAAATTTGAAAATATCGTAACAGGATGTATCAGAATAGAGATGCAGCAGTAACAAGTCTCAATACACTTCTATGATAATGTACAGTATACTACTAATGCATTTAAGTAATATCAGCTTTGCCCTTTTGATTTGAAGATGAACATTATCAGGTCCCTGTCTGTGTAGTCCTCAGCCACAGTCTACGACAGCTCTTCAGGTGCGAATGGTTTCACGAGTAGCATTTGATAATACTTAACCCTTATTATAGCCCATTAGGAAGAGTATGAGAGATAACAACAATGAAATTAGCATGATATGCTACATCTGAACAACTGACATAGTGATGGCGACGTTTACAGTCTTCCTACATTGGAACCTCGGTGTCTCGCTGTCCCAGCTGATCTAGTTTTGACGACATTTACAGTTAATTTAACACCGAGCAATGAATAAAACTAATCAAAATTATGTAAGTGAATCTATCATTCGAGCTGTGCCTTGAGCGACGACGACGACGACAACGACGACGACGCTACTTATCACTGAAAGTTACGTATGCCTCGAAATTCTGAATTGCGTCGGTACCTGGTACCAAGTTCATACCTGACACCCAGCTAGGGTCCATGCAGGTAGCCAAAGTATTGTAATTCCCCATGGTCCCTAGCATCGTGATCAGCCTTCACTTGCTGGCGATATATAGCCCATTTTCACATTGTATTGTCCAAAAATAGTTTTCTACTTTTATATATATAGATATATGCTAGCTAGTTTTACCTCATTTGTGATAATCTAGTAATTTGACTGTCCTTCGTTGACAGGGTTTTATATATTATATGTATGTATTATGAATTTAAAACTAGTTTTAGTCACGATATGGCTGAAATATTGCCGATGTGACTTTAAATTTTAACTCACTCACTCATACCTGACATCTCTCATAACGTCATGTTTGGTTGCTTTTTTTCAGATTAAGACAAAAAGGTTCAGCTGTTTGTATATTATGTTTATTAAGCATGATGCTATGCTTTATCTTTCGTCATTAATTGTGAGGTAATGCACTGATTGAGCCAAAGACCAGGGTGAAAGTCGACAACTGACAAATTTTATTGTAACAACAACTAATATCTATGATAAGCTGTTTAGTTATAGCTAGTCGTGACAGTGTCATTAACCGTCTTTTGCATACTGCTAGATCTATTTGACACTGTAACAGTGTTTTATGTGAGAAATGGCATAGTGCAATGTGAACAAATGGGTTTCTTTAATTTCGCCATGGCTATCGTCAACATTTATAGATTGGACTTTCATTACCAAACCAAAGCAGGATTCTCATTACTTTTACATTTATCAACTTGGAACAATTCGACATAGTTATATTTCCTGTAAATCGATAGGTACAAATGAATCGTCAGTATTACGTTGTAGTACGTAAATACAATAGGCAAAGGACAAAGGGTGAAATACACATAATAATGGCTCTCCACGGATTTACTTAGTTTCCAACGTGAGACGGAATACTGTTTTGCGGGGATAGGCAACATGCACACATCATTTACAAATTTCCCAGTGTCAGGTGCTATTGGGAGGGGAAGACATACTCAACACAGAGTACAGTAATCCATTACTATATTTTCACCACTATCATATCGTTTTACTTGAACTTAAACAGTTTTCCAGATCTGAATTAGAAGTGTAAGATTTACCAAAGAAACTAAGAAGAATAATTGGCGTGTTTTAACTTTCAATCTATATATTTCAGTAAATTTACTCATATGACAATGTGCGTATAAAGAATTATGTTGCATGTCAAGACATTGAAATACATTAGTGTGCATGATCCCAACAAGGATTAAGAGCGTCCCCATTCATGGCTAGTTGTTTAAGTAAATAAGCATTTAGACACATCAATTTCAATTGAATGAAAGAGAGATGAAACTGGAAGGAAGCAGCAATGTTTATTCAGAGGTGTTACAACTGTTCAGGTGCTTCATGTGGTTCAAACCATCACGGCTGAAGTAATGCCAGTGAGATGTTAAACTGATCTCTGGTCACGTGCTTAAATCACAATGGTCGGAATGTTCGTCTACATACACGTCATGTTGAAAGAAGCATTTATGGAAACAAATTCCTATTTAGAACACATGAAGCATGCAATTGAAAATTGAGCCGGGCATAAGAATGCACACGCTTGGAAAAAGGATTCGCAACACAGTTATCGTAACACAGCAGAATCATGGCGTTCCTATGAACGTTTTGAAGAGGTACCAGTTCCCACCCTTCCAACCGAATATCGGCATATATTTTAGTTGAAAACAGATGTCATCGTTCCTAATAAACTCAACCTGCAGTCGCTAATACCACAAATGTACGAGTTTACTTGTTTAAGGTGGAGACTATCATCCGTGTCTTTCTACGAGTCCATTGGTCAGAAACATTCTCAGGTACGGAATTGACAAGTTGCCAGCTATCGGCCACGACAGAGAGGTGGGATCTGACGACATGAACTGGTCACTTAGAGGCTGGGGTTGTCCTGTAGGATTATATCCCCCGCATGTCGTGAACCACCACCCTGACTTGTGGATGTCTGCACAGTTGTCAGCACTGAGGTCGTTGTCAACGTCGTAGGTGGAGAACTTGGTTCCATTAACCAGTAGAATATCACCTAAAGGGTGGTCATTACTTGGGCCACCGCGGTCATAGGTGAAAGCATAGCCTTCTTCTTCACTCTTCACCTTCAGGAACAGAAGCAAATACATGTTTTTATTCACCTCTGCTATAGATTTTACGGACGTTAATGTGCAACAACGTTTGTCAGTAGTAGTACAGCTACATGACTGCAACAGGTAACTGTCAAATCTGGACTAGACGAACCACTGCTTTATATTATGAGCAACACCCTGCGCCTTTGGAGTACTGGTTTGACAGTAGACAATCAACCAATTGACCCTGAGCCAAATCTGACCATCCACTTCATTAAGTCGCCCAGGAAGACAAACATGTCTCTGGGGACCAATTCTTACCCTGGTGGCTGACTAGCCTAAAAGATAAAGCGTCGGTATCATAGGTACAATATTTGGAGCCAACGTTTGGGGTTCACATCCGTCAAATTGATGGAATATTGCTGACTGCTGACTGCTGACGTGTAAACCATAACCATACAACCATTCAATTATATTATTCAGTATCATAACCAGGGACATCCTATTATGATTCGTCAAGGAATGGCTGAATTACAACCATTTTAAAATTAAAAACACTAAATGCACTCACTGCATGAAAATATGCAATTTATCTGTGTAGTCACTTACCACAAAACCATAGTAAAAATACTGTCTGTATCCCAGTTCGGGTATAGTTGCTTCGATAATTAGAGTCTGACGTCGACTGTTCGTGACATGATGAAGCAGTTCATTTCCAATCCAAAATGTTCCTACAATAAAATTGAACGTGAATACGTGTAACAAGATAGCACAACTGGATGAAACACATTTTCCATAAACCTGAAGTTTAAATTTTGATTAAAATGTAAGTGATAAACCCTTCAATTGGAAGTCGTTACCAACTTAACTGTATCATAAACATATATCTATAAGTCATTATCAAATACTACAACGCGAAAGGGTAAGCTGTCCTTTCCCATCGGTGGTACAAACACATGCAAGGGCATGACAATTCAAAACATTTGTGTATCTGCTATTACACGCTACACTCAGCAATAGTTTAGATGTTAGCTGTGTGATGACAACCCGGAAATAATGGAGCCATGACCAATAAAATCACATGATTGGCATCATGAGCCTCGATCAACGCAACTGCATCAGCCAAATCAGCGAAGGTGCAACTTCTATAAATGGCCTCCTGCAACTATCATTTTTTGCCCTAGGAATAAAAATTCACCAAATTCTTAACACCACGTACCTCTCTTATCGGTTTGCAGTGTATCGAAATCTCCAAACCCATGTTTATAATCATACCAGTTTCGTGAGAAATTAACGTATGGAAAATCATGACCTTTTGCCATGATACGTGACCTGCCACGAAGTCTCATATCACAGAAGGTACGAAACGGTGGCTGGGTTGGTGACGGCTGCGTGTAGTAGACGCCTTTCGTCAGATAATAATCATCTTCATTATACCCCTCACTACAATCTGAAAAAGAAGGACAAACATACTGTATCATACTGTGCCTTTACATAGAAAAAGTCAGCGGTTGATATCAACATGTTTGTTCAAACAAGACTTATGACGATATTATTGGAAGGGTTTGCTGCATGGCTAGTCAAGTCAAATAAGTTTATTTTGAGGACTGGTACAATGTGGAAAGGTCAATTTGTTGGTCTTACGTGATTTTACAAAAAGCTGTTTTTGTCTGTATATCAATAAATGCATTTTTTTAGAAATGCTTTTCACGTAGCAAATCATATATTGGTTCATACATTGAGCAATCTGAAGTGCTGAAACTGGTTCTGACATCTAGTATCGTCTATGGTGACGTGGTTGAGATAGCAGGTCTATTCTGTCACCCTCTGCTCTGAGACTGAATGACCTGCACAAGGAATGGGAGGAACATGACACTGCACAACCGATGATTGTCATGTCTCTGGATGTGAAGATGCCAGTGGCGGGAGTGGTGTGCGGGTCAAAGCATGAAGCAACCTGGCTGTAGTCTTTGTTTGATACCACTCCGAGTGTAGTTGAAAATGTAGATATGAAGGCAGCCAATGTGATCACCTGGAGATGCATGTTGCACATATGAGATGTAAGGTATGTTTCTTTTCTCTGCAATGTCCAACTGTATGACGGCGGTCTGTAAATAACGGACAAACCAGTGATTGATATAATCAGTTTCAGGGTTGTACCTGGTTCCTTAGCAACATGTCGTACTAACCCATTTAACTGATCTTGGATCATGTATGAATTGATTGGTTTGTGAATGTACTGGCAAGCGTTCTGGTAATGCAGTGACACACCGGTATTTACCTTCATCATATTCTGACACCCTAACTGATAGAGCGTCTGCCCTCAGAGCAAAAGGATCATCTAGCCCCGCCATTCCATCCGTGGTAACACACACAAATAGTTAACTTTGACTTAGTATAGTGTACCTGAATGTGGTAACCATGTCAAATGTGTTATATTATCTCAGTGGACTAGCACCAAGTCTACGCAAGTACTAATACACACACACACACACACACACACACACACACACACACACACACACACACACACACACACACACACACACACACACACACACACACACACACACACACACGAAAAAAATGTATGAAAATCGTTTCATCGGCATGGCATGCGAAGGCAAACGTGAGGCAAGTGAAATAGTTTTGTAACAATAACAGCAAAAACCTCGCTGTGTTGTTTGTACCATGCATGTACAGAAAACTGTCAAACGTACCGACCAATCTGTTTCTGCAGATTACACAGCGATTTTAGGTTTATTCTACGGAGTTACGATATGAGTATGTAATCTATGTGTGTAACTCGAGGTCAGCATACTCAGGACACTGACTACAGAAGTACACTTTCACATTTATTTCCTTTATGTCTCAATCAAATAGTAACAGAGAAGCAACTGACTGAAAAGATTAACTTACCTGGAGAGGCTGCAGCCCAGTCACAGAAACACTCCCTGATGAGACGGGCTTTATATTTTTGGTGCAGCAATAACTTTTCCTTTGTGGACAGAACGCATTATTTTTGGAGTCGTTTCCGAATCAATGTCTCTGGGGTAATCAGATATGTGACTTCAGATAGAAACCAATGACACAAGCAACTAAAATCAGTACTTCATTTTGACTGTAAACAAGATTTGATGAGAAATCAGTGAGTGTATTTGGTTTCATTGTTGTCAATTTGGTTTGTTACAAAGTAATACTGTAATGGGTGTGGATAAATTATCTCAGTGATAAACAAAGGATTATCTGTAAGCATTATCAATAAATAAAGCAGTGGTGTAGTAATCACAACCATGTCATCAAGACAGTTATTTTGCAGGACCCGCTTTTGTCACATATTTTGATTACTTCGAGTAAACCCAGTTATAAATGTATTTCTTTGTAAGTTGATTTGTTTCGTGGAGGCAGTCTCTAGTAGGTTGTGCCAATGTGCATGTTATATAAACGTAAATACAACAATAGGTGTGACAATAATCGGTGTGGCATTATAATTATGGAAACACGTCCTCATAACACTTTCTATCCCTTTTCACATGATTTCCAAATTATAAGGGGCGGTGGGGTAACCTAATGGTTAAAGCGTTGGCTCGTCACGCCGAAGACCCGGGTTCGAATCCCCACATGGGTACAATGTGTGAAGCCCATTTCTGGTGTCCCCAGCCGTGATGCTGCTGGAATATTGCTAAAAGCGGCGTAAAACCAAACTCAATCAGTCAGTCAGTCCAAATTATAAAATCTGCTTATGATAAATGTCAATATTAAAGAATCAAACAAGTGAGTAATTCATGGCTTTTCATACGAATACAATCCAAGCACAGTCCATAAAGAACCACTGACTGATCCCATCATAAAACACTATCGTGACCTATCAAAAGTTGTTTTCTACTAGTTCTACTATATTGGGCGTTCAATTTTTCCAAAACCACCATATAACAAAAAGAGAATAAAGAACTTAAATTGTTGTGTTTGCCGCCTCGGGATTTTCTAAAGGTTACTAACAATGATTCAATAAAGTGGCTATTTAATTCCATGTATTATGCATACTAATTGATGGAAATAGTGACACGAAATCTACCAGTAAATATAAGTTCTGAAAATGGCATATTTCAGTATTTACATTTAATAAAAGAACCAGTTTTATTGACTAACCGCTTCTTCATTGCAACAGATTCGATGTTTCGGTAAAGATGCAAACTTGCTTGATACCATTGTTATCATCTACACCGAAACGTCGCATCTATTGCATTAGAGACGTTGTCAATCCATAAAACTTGTTCTTTTCACCATACCCAGTTCTAAATGCTAAGAGACCACTTCCGTGGTCTAGTGGTTAGAGCGTCCACCTGGAGAGCGGAAGGTCGCGGGTTCGATCCCCGGCCGCGTCATACCAAAAGACGTTAAAATATGGTACTTGTTGGTTCCAGACTGGCGCTCGGCAGTAATGGGTACAACAAGTACTGGTCGGCTCGGGCTCAGTTTAATGTGTCTGAGTGGGGTATTCATGCTTAACTGCGGCATGGTATCTCAGTGAGCTAGCACTATAAAACCAGCTTAAGTCACATCCACGCATCCACGTCGTCATATATGCGAAATATTCTTTAAGTGCGACGTCAAACCTCTTACTGCCAAATTAGTTACATTTCGGTTTTCCTTTCTCTAAACAGATAAACTATGTAAACTGCAGAAACAAATTCGTCTTTGAATATGTTATAGTAACATATTCTCCGAAACTTTATCTATTTAAATAACAATAGATCACAATAATCACATCTAAACTGCAACAATGATATTCGTAATTTCGATCTACTTACAATGTCTTTGTACTTTTAATATACAACATGAAAACACAACGCGATTTAGAAAGTGGTAAAATGTAACATATGTTATATTTGGGACTACACTTTCTTAGTAAAGTACAGATTCTAGTATTTTATGGTGGGGTTGAGTCCCATCTGGGATTCGAACCCACACCCTCAGAATCAGGCACCTAATCGCCAGTGTAAGAAGAAAGTGTAATCCCAAATAAAACGTTTGGTTTTACCTGATGATGAGGCCAGAACAAGCCCTGAAACGTTGTACTCGAGAATAAAAAGAAGATGTAACCCAGAAAAAATCTCTATGTTCATAACGTTTGGTGTTTACTTCTTCAAACCCCTTCGTCTCGATTGTTTACGCTGAACAAACATACCTGGTACCTCTAGGAACGCGATGTTTGGTTGTCGGTTTTAGTTCGACACAAATAGGTTCAACCGTTCCACTTTTTCAGAGTACATTTCTTCAAAACCACTTGGTCTTCACTTTCTACGCTTAACAAACTCATTTTTGCATGCTCATTTCACTCGCCAAAAAAGGAGGCAGTGTGTGACACTGCATACGAATGTTTATCTTACGATCCCTCATTATTAATTTGAGTGATGAGATAATAAACTGATTAAGCCAAAGACCAAAGTTTGGTATACCATTGATAGTCATTGATAATGCTAAAAGGATATCACCTTCAATATAGACACTTTACAGACAAATATGATATTTTATATTGTAACAACAACTAGTAAGTTGAGCAACTTGTGAAAGACCGTTTAGTTATAGTTAGTTGTGACAGTGTCATTACCAGTCTTTTGCACATTGCTAAATCTATTTGACACTATTGTAACATTATGGCAACAATATGAGAAATAACATAGTGCAATGTGAACAAATGTGTTACTTTAATTTGACCTTCATAAATTCGACTTTCATTACAAAACCAAAGCAGGATTCTCATTACTTTTTCATTTATTAACGTGGTCCAATTCGACATGGTTATATTTTCCTGTAAATCAATACGTACAAATGAATCGTCAGCACAAGCCATTGTCCAGTGGCTTGTATAACACTATCATTTACATGGTTTCAATGGCTGAGTTCTGTTTTTACCCGCGTCGATCACAAATTTCCGAGTGGCAGGTGCTACGGGGTGAGTAGGGCATACTCAGTATTCCATTTATATATTTTGACCATGATTTACATCATTTTTACGCATCGTGAAACACATGGGTTTAAAAGTTTTCCAGATCCGTTTTAGAAGTGTAGGATTTACACAAGAAGCATGATTTGCGTGTTTTAACTTTCAACCTACATAATTCCGTTAATTTACACATATACCGGCATGTTTAAACACTCGAGGTCATCAAAAGAAAGACCCCCAGTGACCTAAGATAAATGTTGCATGTCAATATTCTTCTTCCACTAGATGTTAGAAGGGGCGGTGGGGTAGCCTAGTGGTTAAAGCGTTCGCTCGTCACGCCGAAGGCCCGGGTTCGATTCCCACATGGGTACAACTTGTGAAGCCCATTTCTGGTGTCCCCCGCCGTGATATTGCTGGAATATTGCTAAATACGGCGCAAAATCATACTCAGCCAGTCAGTCAGATGTTAGAAAGACACCATAGCTTGTATGGTCCCATACAAGGCCTAAAAGCGTCCGCGTTTCTCGGCTAGTTTAATTTAATATACATTTAGACACAGTAATTTCAGTAGAATAAAAAAGGGATAAAACTTAAAGATAGCAGCAATGTTTATTTTGAGGCGGTACAACTGTTCATGTGGTTCAAACCAACCATATGCATATGGCTGAAGTAATGCCAATGTGATGTTAAACTGATAACCGATCACTTACTCGAACCCATAGTGGTAGAACCATTCGTCTACATAAACGCCATGTTGAAAAAAGATAAAGCTACAATTATGGAAAGATATATATGTAGAAAAAACCTCTGGGACATATGAAACATGCAAATAAGAGGTGAGCAGGGCTTTGGGTTCGGTACAAAGTGAGAGTAAATAAGGTTTTAGTATCCAAAGCGCAGAGCTAAAGAATGTATACCATTTGGATTCGAAAATGGATTCGACACAAAAATTACAAGCATTATGAATTGCCACTAGACTGGAAACATTCTTCGTATATTTTGTAAAACAGCCAAATCAAGGATTTCTTCGAACATTTATGAGGCACCAAATTTGACCCTTCCATGTGAGTATAGTCATTTACCACAGATGGAGACTGATGTCATTGCTCCTAATAAACTCAACCTGCAGTCATTAATCCCACAACTGTAAGTGTTTACTGGGTTAAGTACTGGAGACTATTGAAAGGTCTTCAGGAGCACATAGCACATAGCACAGATGTACAAATACGACACGTTAACTTGACGAAGACAAAGACGAGACTGATTACAATCGAAATCTGATCACGCGTCACAGTCCATGCGTTCAGGTGCAGGTGCACGCTATTGTTCAGGATCGTCGCGTCCGTGTTTTTCTACGAGTAGTTGGTCAGAAACATCTCCAGGTACCGAATTGACAAGTTGCCAGCT